CGTGGAACGGTACCGTGCAGTGCGCGGATTACTTAAAGTAGTACCACAAATTGCAAGCTCTGAAAGAAAAACCCGGCAGCGGCGTTTAGAACTGCTTATTTTGAACGTTTCGGGAGGTTTTATCGTGGTATCAGAAGGGCCTTATCGGAAGGAGCTCATCTGGTGTAGTGTAAGGAGTGGATTACTGTAATCGTGGTTGCATAGTTACGCCAGGTTCCGGAACACACCAAAAGACTAGTCCAAGTACGTAAATGTAGTAAACTAAAATCCTAAAACGTTATGACAAACGTGTAAAAGTGTGGCTCCAAACCTAACTGACGAGCAAAAGTTCAGACAGGTATAGATTATCTTAACGGAAGCTGTATCTACAGTATCTCGTAATATACCCTAGTATCGTGTCGGGGATGGTATCTGTTTGTAAACAGGCGTAGAGTCTGCTATAGCTGCGATTTCCAAAATTTTGAGCGTCTGAGAGGTCAGAATCTAAGCTTTCAGCCCTCCTTAGCGCCTACATATTCCAAAGGTATCGAAACTGTGCAGAAACCGCTTAGCCTTGGGCCCAAAAATGACAAGTAGCCATCGAAAAATATTGAATGTTCGCGAGCTCAAAGCCAATAGCTCCTGCTTACTGCCAAAACGTACGAAAATCCTCAAAAATTAGCTATTACTACAACTTCGCGAGGCTCGTTGTGAGTATTCCCACAGAATCTCCCACTTGCATACATAACCAAGGCTTGAAAAACACTTGGCAAAAACCTAAGTCAGACTCCCACGCAGCTACTACTCCCAAAAAGTAACCTTGGAATAGGAAAACCTACGGCGTGTACGAGCTACAATACTGCCAAAAGTATCGCCCAATAGCCCACGCCCTTCCTCCCCATCAACCAATCTAATAACAACTCAAGATGAGGGGCTACTTTCCCTCCCCCGTCATTTGGTTGTTGAATGGAGGTGCTAAACGGGAGCCCCTTCCTCGTCTCTTCCTTCTTCTTCTTCTTTGTAATGCTGACTGTTCAGGCTGACACATTTATCCCCTCATAGCGTTCTTTTCTTCGCATCTCCGGTCGGCCGAACGGACGGAAGGACGGACAGACACTTTTGCTACTACTAACGGGTCGTAACTATGCTCAACTAAAGAGAGAGAGAGGGGAGAGAGCGAGAGTGAGCGACAGCGAAGTATACAAAGAATCGAGGTGTTCAAGGACGGGATGGAGCATGAGCTTTCGTTTCCGGAGATTTGAGAGGCGCGATTCTGGAATCTTAAAGAACTTATCCAGAAAATTGACAGCTTACACTTCTTTTTAAAGGGACAGAGAAGACAAAATCAACCCTTCCGTCGACTAGGTCTCGACAGCTCCGCGACAATCCAAAAACACTGACTTCGACTCTTTGTCACATCGTTCAGATTTGCTTTTCAAATAGGCAGAAAAAAATGCGGGTATTGGTGTTTCTCGTAGCTGTTCAGACCCGGTCGAAGAACGACGTCGATTTCGCCACTTCGTGGTCCCTTTAATGAACAAAGATATGGTAATAGACTACGATTATCAAAGAACTGAGCATGTCTAAAATAAAACTAAGCCGACAAAATGCCAAGGCGAGAAACTCAATCCTAAATTCCAACCAATCGTGCCTAGAAATGACCCGATACAGGAAATTGGCTCTAAGGTCTGTGATTAGGATTAGATTGGAACATTCCCCTAGGGGTGTATGGATGCGAGAGAGAGGAGAGAGAGCGAGAGAGACGGAGAAGGGGGGGGGGGGGGGGGAGGGGGGGGGGAAGAGAGAGAGCCGCTAATGACACCATTTGCCACCACTTCAGCCTTGAATCTATTATCTCCTCGGTAGGGGGATGGGATTTAGCCCCGAAGCTACTCTCGAGAATTTGCAGCTCAAAATGCTGGTGAAGATGTGTCCGCTACAAAACCAGGCAAGGGAAGAGGCGGAACCCGGAAATTTGCATTTAAATGGCGGCTCCCAAGATGGTCAATTCAACCTAATAAATTCTACAGCTGTCGTTCTATGGCCTTTATTGAATTTTTCGAGCTCCCGCCGATGCGCCTTCAAATTCATTGCGTCTCGCACCGAATTTCAAGCAGATCTATCGTGTTTTTCTCGGAATTTTCGAAAAGTCCACGGACCGGAAATGATACTTGCATTTTAAAATGTAAATGTCTGAGCATCGAATTCAGCCGGTACGACATTAAAAATCGGGCAAGCTAGCACAGACCCTTGGGGAACAAACTGGGTTGAGCTAGAAAAAAACAACTGGAAGAACGTCTGGGGAAAGGTGAGAAATTGGGCTAAGCTAAGAAAGAAAACGGAATTGAAAATCATGCGCCATCAAGTTCAGCGAGTGCGAGAGAAAAAGACAGGCAGGCTAGCAAGGTCCTTTGCGGAAAGAAAGAGGAATCAGGTTAGGCCCGGTCCAAGGCCAAAAAACCATTACACAAACAAGAACAAGAACAATTCCGCCCAGATACCAAATGACGAGCGGAGCCCCGGGTGTTACGCAACACCAACAAGAAGAAGGAGACAGGAAATGGTGCGCTGGTCGCACCACAGCCGAGGGCGACCAGGCGGCTGTGATTAGGATTAGAGCGTCCACCACCCCCACCAGCAGAGCGCGCCGCCGCGCACACAAGGCTCGTGCCCGGGCGATGGGTACACAGGAATACAAACAACGGAAACGGGGGGAGTGGACGAAGACATGGATGGACTATCCGGGGGAGGAGGGAGGAACAAGAAGAAACAGAAGCCCGGAACGAACACACGCTTATGCCCCCCGACTGCCGGTCAGCGGGCCCCACACACGGATTAGCCCATCCGGAACGCGTTGTCCACACTATCGCACCTCGGGTTCGGAACCGGACACGGTTGTCCATTGTTTTGTCCAGGGGGAGGAAAATGTTGGGGGAAGCTGAACGGGGGACTTCAAGCTTCAAACGTACCCGATTTTTACAAAAGTTCAATCTTCTATTTAAACTCGGTTCTGGTTCGTTAGCGGGGGGGGGCATGCAAAATAATTCCATTCCACCTAGCACTTGCCTTCAGCGAAAACCAAAGTCGGGAATTCCAGAAAATTTTAATTCCGACAACACCGCCCACCCGAACAAAAAGTCAAATGGCGCCGAATAGCACGCTAACCGAAGCAGAAAATGGCAAATTCCACGGTCACTCGGCTTGCATAAGTGCGGTTCAGGTGGTGTGTACAAAATGGAAAACACGGTACGTGATAAGTATTTTGCCATAGAATCGCTGAAATCGAGGGTTTTGGCGTGACTTAGAAGCAAAAAATAAGAAAGTGAAGGACATAGTTTCCAAACGTAGTTTCCAAAGGACGTCCAAACGTTGCAAAAAGACGATTAGAAAATGAGATTCTTGTGTATTTGCGGGGGGTCGAATTTTTCCTGTGGAAAGTTGGCTTAGTAAACAACTATAGCGCGTTTTTCTATTGTTTTCAGTAAACTTTAACAATAGTAGAAGCAGAAAAACGTTGAAAAAAGTAGAAACTTATCACAAAAAGTCTAAATCTAAAAATTTCTCGTGAAAAAATCCAAATTTTTTACCTAAAATTGAATTCTACATGAAAATTTGTAACGTAATTATGCTCAGGAGTAGCTAAAAACAAGCTACAAACGCATCCCATAGGAAATATAACTTTTCACCAGTTACCAGGAAGAGAAATGAGACTGAATCCACGTGAACCCCGGCCAATAGGTATCTGGTTTCCAATGCCAACTTCGATAGCGCAGAGCCGATCTAACGTCAGACGTGACATAACACCACGATCAACATCAAACGAAAAGCCTAACATCTAGGCGCTTGAACGCAACCCAGCACCGCAGCATACCGTTCGACTACACTAGCAAAACCAGACTCCATCGCAAGGGAGAAAAGGCAAGGACGCAAAAACTAGATGGCCAACTGCTCGACACGACACGCCGGGGGACTGTTTAGGCTAATGTTAGCCCTCGGCGGGAAATGCAGCCACTCTCTTTCTCTCCGTCTGCTACTATTCGGGTAAAAAGAAGCCGATGCCACCGGGCGGCGAGCAGGGGCATAAATGCGCGACAATCTGGATCTCCGCTCCCAAATGCTTGCCGGGGCGTCTTTGCGCTTGTTCCCCTGCCTCTTCCTACTCCTTACCGCATCCTGACAACCTTGAGGGCCTGTTCCGCCGTATCCGCTCGAGTAGAAATGTCAGGCGGCTAGGCTGCCGTAAAGCGGCGAGAGCTGGGCAAATGCGGAGGTTGGGCAAGGGTGAAAAATACATAAATACTAGTTGTTTTGAGGCGAAAATGACACTACTTTCACCAGAAAAGATAGAAAATAGTAGTAAAAAAGAAGCCATTATAAAAAGAAATTAAAGCTGGCAAAATAGTATAACTAGCGGCCTTCCAATCAGGCAAAAACTCGATAAATAGGCAAAAATATCTTGCTTTCCAGCTGGATATTACTCTTTTAACGAATCATTCGCTTCAACACTAAAACTTCTAGCTTTTTCAAGTTCTTAAAGTAACAAATACATACTTGAAACCCCACAACTTGAAGGAGAGAGGAAAGAAGGCCAAGCGCATGACTTTCTTCTTCACTTTTCTTTGCTTTACTTACAGCTAAAACATGATCTTTTTATTCTGTTGTAAAAAGTATTTTCAAAATTTAATTTTTTTAATCATAGTTCGTTCCGACACACTACGCACTTACGATTGCTAGCCTGCAGCAATCCCGTGGACTTTCATACGGTAATCGCCGGGCGCCGGCGTTTTCGATTTTCGGTCGCGTTTCTCTTTTCCCCTTTTTCGATCCTAAAACTCTCCCAATTTTTTTTTCATTTTTTACGAAATTTAAATTATTTTTTGTTTTAATAGCTTTAACTGCCTGCCGGATTCGACGCGCTCAAGTCCTGCTGTGCTTGACAGTCCCCTGTTTTTGCGCTGTCATTTCACTGGGCCTATTTTCTTTCGTTTTATGGTTTTTCACAATTTTATTTGCTTTCAGCAATGTCCGGCGGACACGAGAGCTCGAGCCTGGTGCAGGATGACGTGGTGAGGCTCCTCGCCACCTACACGCACATCGGCACGACGAACGTCGACCATCAAATGGAGCAGTACATCTACGCACGACGCGCTGACGGTGTGTTTTTGGAATGCTTTCATTTTTTGAGTGTTTGAAAATAGCTCTGACGGGCTGAACGCGTTTTGCATTTCTTTTTCAATACTTAATTTCAGGTACCCACATCATCAACTTGAAGCAAACCTGGGAGAAGCTGCTGCTGGCCGCACGCGCCATCGCCGCTGTCGAGAACCCGGCGGATGTCATCGTCGTCTCGGCCCGTCAATTCGCCCACCGAGCCCTGATGAAGTATGCTGCGCACACAGGAGCCACTCCGGTCTTCGGCCGTTTCGCCCCGGGCGCGCTCACCAATCAAATCCAGAAGAACTTCAAGGAGCCGCGCATTATCATCATCTCCGACCCGCGAATTGACCATCAGGTATTCAAAAAGCTTTTTTTTATGTTTCATAATTGTATTTGTTAGGTCGTCACGGAAGCTTCGTACGCCAACGTGCCGATAATCGCGTTCACCAACTCGGATTCGCCGTTGAAGTTGATCGACATCGCCATTCCGTGCAATAACAAGGTAACCTTTCATAGAATTGTTTTTAGTTTCCTTTTAGGCCGCGCAGGCTGTTGGTCTGATGTGGTGGCTGCTCGCTCGCGAGGTGCTCATCCTACGTGGCAAGGTGTCTCGTGATGGGCCGTTCCTGATCGAGAACACCGAGATCATGCCGGATCTCTACTTCTTCCGCGACCCAGCCGAGATCGAGAAGGAGCAAGCCGCCGAAGAATTCGAGGCCGTCCAACAAGAAGCCATCACCACCGAGGTTCCACTCGACTTCACCGCTGCCCCGGATATCAAGGACTGGGCGGCCGAGGCCAACGCCGACAACTGGAATGGCCAGCCGGCCGGTCAAGAATGGGGACAAGCCCCCGCGGTCAACCAATGGTGAACCCGACAAATACCCGTTTTAAATTGTTGTTTTGTGTTGCGAATAAATACTTGTTGATCTTTTGACTGTCCTTTGAATAAAGTCATGGTCTCCAACCATTGCCCTTATCTTTTACTGGATTGGTTTCCGGTGAATATTATCTTTGGTGTTCGGCGCTATCCGTAGAAATTTGTTACTGCCTCGTTTTAGACAAGAGAAGATGGCGCCGGCACGCAAGGGCAAGACCAAGGAGGAGCAACCCGTCGTTGCCCTGGGCCCGCAAGCTCGCGAGGGTGAGCACGTCTTCGGCGTCGCGCACATCTTCGCCTCGTTCAACGACACCTTCGTCCACGTCACCGATATTTCCGGTAACTTACTGTGCTCGTTCTTTGACATTCTAATTTAGGCCGCGAAACGATCGTGCGGGTCACTGGTGGAATGAAAGTCAAGGCCGACCGTGACGAGTCTTCGCCCTACGCTGCTATGCTCGCCGCCCAAGACGTTTCAGAACGCTGCAAACAGGTACTTTTTGATGAACTTTTCTTGCGTTTGCGGTTTCAAAGAGACCGTGCTCGTGCGTGTTATGCGATTTTGTGGTGATTGGATCCATGCTATACTTTGTTTTTTAGCTCGGCATCAACGCGCTCCACATCAAGATCCGAGCCACCGGCGGCACACGCACCAAGTCGCCCGGACCAGGAGCCCAATCCGCCCTGCGCGCCCTCGCCCGAAGTGGAATCAAGATCGGCCGCATCGAAGACGTGACCCCAATCCCGTCCGACAGCACCCGAAGGAAGGGAGGTCATCGCGGACGTCGCCTCTAATCATGCTTTTACGTGTTTTGTTACTGTTGTTGAATTTTCTTGAATAAACAGATTCGACCTAGCACGGGTGCATCATATAGGTGGCGGGCGGGCACTTGTTTCAGTGAGTTGGCTTTGTCGCGTTCTGTCAAAACTGCCGCTTGCTTGGATGCCGGAAATTTGCATCGAACGCATAAATGCGGCTGGTTACGCGGATTCTTTGCGCACTTCTTCAAAATGTCGGCCCGCGCTCCGGTTCTGCTGCTGTTCACCTGCCTCCTAGGCTTTTATCTGCTCGACGTGTGCACGGCGGATTGCTACCAGTGCGTGCAAGGGGATGAAGAATTCATCAAAACAAAATTCCAGGAGAACACGTGGGTTTCTTGACCGCCAGTGTTGCGCCGTCGAAGTCAGACTAGCAGACAATCGTTTAGCGAGGAGTCGGATAAAATCATCGGCGGCATCACCACCATTTCACGGGACTGCACGATCTTGCAGGTGGTGATTGCGCAGCCTTATTGTAAAGCGTTTTACATAGGCTGGAAACTCCATTTGAGACCTAATACTATTTTGTGCTGAATTTTTTTGCTGATTCCAATGTCTTCCAAATCTGCGGATGAGCCCAGTTTCAAAGTTGCAGCTGTTTTTGTATCTGGCTCGAAGCGGTCGATCTTAAATCTTACCAAAAACCTTGTAGAATACGTTTTGGATAAACATAGACCTAGTGGTAGAAAAATTTGCGCTTTCGAATGCGCCATCTTACGGAACCGTAACTTAAAACTGATCAAAAAAGGGGGGTTTTTATCGGGGTAAGGGGCAGAAGGCCAGAGCAGTGTGGCCGGGATGGCAGGGCTGAAAAATGAGTCGAATTACAAAAATTTTGAGTTACAGTTCCGTGAGATGGCTCATTCCGAAGAGCATAATTTTGTACGGCAGACTATCGAGGATGTTATTTGCAGAAAATATTCTAAAAAATTTTGAAACGGATTTAAAATCAACCATTTCGGGCGAGTTTGCAACAAAAACAGCTTTAACTTTTGAAATCGGTCTCCTCGGCAACTTTGAAAACAAATTCGGAATCAGCGGAAATTTTGCGCACACGATAGGCTAGGTCTCGAATGGAATTTCCGGCCTCTGTAAAAACACGTTACAGCAACTTACCTCATTTTTAGGGGACCACGAAGAAGTGCCCGTCTGACAGGTGCGTCCAGTTCCACGCTGAGAAAGACCACAAGACGCTGTTCCACGCTCGGAATTGCGCGCGGCGTGGTTGGGATGGGCGCTGGGAAGTTGACGCTGTGCACAAGAAAGTGGGAGAAGGGGCAGCTGGCGGTGAGGCATTATAACGAAGCTCTATAGGACCGCTGAACTTTTGGGCTTGGGCTTCAGCGACTCTATTTTTTGCAGTAGACGTCTGGCTGAGGACCTGCGAGGGGGATCTGTGCAACGACCTGACAGTGGCCGAGCTGAAGGAGGCCGGCGGCAGCATAGTCACCATTCTCATCCCCATCACCACAGCCATTATTGCCAATATCCTTACCTTTTTCTGAATTACATTTGTGAGATGAATAAATCGGTGATGCGCGAGGGGGAACTAACTAAGCAACTGGTCTGTTGTTGTGCAACTGTGTTGTTCACTTTAAAAATCGGCTCACATAGAGACCCTTTGGGCCAAGCCTACCTTGTGCAGAATTTTGCGCTGGTTCCGAATATGGTTACCGTTTTTGCGGAAGAGCCAATTCTCGAAAGTTATAAGCTAATTATGGCAGAAATAGCCACATTTTATCCACCTTTATTGAACAGAAAAAGCTTCGGAATAGGTTTTGGAAAAAAGCAGCTGTTGCATCTTCTTCGAAAAAAATTTGTATAATTTCTTACAACTTTCTAGCTAACAAAAACTACTAAAACAGGTTCTTTAGGATTCCCGGGGGGGGAAAGTATTCCCGGGGGGGGAAACCAATTTTTTTCCTGGTGGTCCCGGTTGGCCTAGTAATCAAATATAAAGTGTTTTCGAATTGTTTTTAGTAAGTTTTAACTATATTTAGAGCGGAATAACTTTCAGAAAAATTTAGAAAAATGTTTGAAAAAGTCGAAAATTTGGTCATTTTGGGTCTATTTTTCGACCTAATTTTTAATTTTTTACATTTTTTTGGTTAAAATGTGTGTAGTTTTTATGCACAGGAATAGTTAAAAACAATTTAGAAACGCATCCGCAATTTATACAAAAATCTAGGCTTTCGCCGAAAAATTTGTTTCCCCGGGAATATCTCCCCCGGGAATCCTAAAGAACCCTAAAACACTATACGAATATATTATATATCATCATCAATCAGATAGGTGGAAAAATTAAAAGTGATTTCCCCGCTGCAAAAATCCCTCTCGCGCTAACAGTCCAGAACCAATTATTCTCGAAAACTTGGTGATTTTGGTTAATCGTGATTTTTATTTTAACCATTGTTTTTAGCGGGGAGCTAGCTTGGGTTTTTTTGTTGTTAAAAAGCCTTTAATCGGAATTTAATCGAAAAATTGCCTCGTAAATTGTTGAGAACAAAGGCAACAGAATCGGTTTATTGGATTCTTACGATCAAAAAAAGATTCGGTATATTCCATAAAATCTAATTAAATCACGGTGTTACTGATGTTATTAGAGTCATTAGTTTCGGTTCCCTCCCAAGTGGCGTCCTTCAGCTCCTGCGGCGACAACTTGTTGCACAGCGGACCCTCGCACGCGTGCATGTACATCGTGACTATAAATGCTTTTCATGTTCTAAACTTTTATCTGAAATTTTTATCTTAAATCTGATTTTTTTTGTTTCTTTTTAATTTTTCAGTTTTCGATTTATTTGAGCTAACAATTTAATTTTTATTCTGTTATTCTAATTCTCTTAAAAACTGTCGATTTTAATTTTTGAGAATCTTGGATTTAATAAATTTTGAAATTGGCCTTTTTTATTACGTTTTTAAGGGGTTAACTTTGAATTGCGCTTAATTCTTTTAACAAGATCGTTAATTTGAACCCTAAAACGACAAAAATGGGAAATTTTTGGAATTTTAATATTTTAAATGTACCAGATTTCGACTTTTTATTTTTGAACTACATTTTTTTAGTTTTCAACTGCTTTAGCGGTTCCATAACCCTCACAATTAACGCTTCTCACGAATCCCCAGTCGATGTCCTTCTGACTTCCTGCCATGCAGCCGCGGAACGCAACATCGAAGGGGTTTAAGCCGTAGGCGGTGACCGTGTAGAGCATCTGCATGCACTTCGTATCCGCGCACACGTCAACGGGCCACCAACTCAGGAAAGTATTTAACGTACTTCCAACCGTTCACACCCAGATTTTTTCACAGTTTGAGTCGTAGTTTGCGCGCTTGGTCATATCCAGGATCACAAATCCGCCCAACCGCTGCGGGCGATTTCTTTAGGAAGGCGGAAAGAGAGGAAAC